CATTTTTATACACGACCAAGCAGATATTTTAGAGATCTTTGGCTTATTTTCAGTTCCACACACAAGAGAGAACAAGGTGGAAGCTAGGGTTTTTGCACACACACTTGGGTCTTGAAGATTTCAAGCTTGTGGTTAAGGATTTCTTACCCATTTTGTTTATTTCTTCATTTCCTTGCTTTGTATTTAATATTTAAGTGTGTAGTATTTATTTCCAACACTTGAATCTTGTTGATGGAAATACTCATATTTAAAGTGTGGATTAAATACCTTGTTGTGCTTATGTATTAAATGATTTTTATTCTTTTATGAAGTGCGTTATTGTTATTTTAATTATTCTTGTTCTTTAATATTTCCAAAGGGATTAGCTAACCCTAGGACTCGCCCATTAACTCCGAATTAATTTTGGAAAAGATATTTTGGGGTTGGGAAAGATTAATTAACAAGAACTTGAGGCGTTAACCCTCGTTTTATAGATTCTACCTAGGGATAGGATTGAACTACTTGTAGCCATTCCAGGTGTGCTTAATCTCTTAATTGTTTTAGGGATAATTCAATTAGGAAGTCTTGTTAGTCTTCGGAAGAAGCTAATTAAGAATTATTATCCGTGGCTAATTAACATAAACTCGCTATGAAATACATTGGATCGTTACTTGAGTGTAATACCCGATGCATTCATACTTATAGCCATTGATCATTTTACTTGCTTTCTAGGTTAGTTTACATTTTCGCACTTAGATATAAAACATTTTCAAAACAAATTCTTATTGTTTGGCATTGCGCGATAAGTGATAATTTTCTTACATTCCTGATCGCCTACATATTGTTCTCTGTGGGATTCGACCCCGACTCATAGTTGGGTAAATTATATTGCATGCGACCGTGTCCATTTACTTTTTAGTAGTGGATTTGGACGTCATCAAAATTGGCGCCGTTGCCGGGAACAATTTGGCGTAATTTAGGTTGTTTGAGAAGTAAGCGTAAGTGCTTTGGTCCAAACTTGTGAATATTTGTGTAATTATTTTTCTTACCTTGGTCTATTTTTCTTGTTAGTTTCTTGTTTATTTTCTTATTTTTTTGAGGAAAAAAAATGGCATCATATAATGAAAATTGGTCGGATGGTAGTTGTTCATACTTTGATGACCCTTGTCCTTATTGTGGAGGACCACACTCGTGGCAAAATTGTTTAAATTCTCCCGGGGGTGGATTGTGCGCACAATCCCAACCCTATGAGTGGAGTATTTGTGATAAGTATGGTTTTCAAAATGGTCATTGGGATGATTGTGCTTATTGGTCCTTCCCTTCCCCAAGCCCCCGCTATGATAATTCTACTTTCTGTGATGAAAGTTATAGGGCTATGGAAGTTGAAGAAGTTGAGCATGGCCAAAGTGGAGAGTTCAAGCTTATGTTGGAGTGTTTACTTGAAAAAGGAAACAAGGAGCAAAATGCCTTGGAGGAGCTTTTGGAGAATAGTCTCCCAAATGACTTGGCACTTGAAAGGTTGCACTCACAAATGGATGAGATGATCGAAGCCTTAAGGATTCAAAAAGCCTCGGAAGTGAATGATATCCAAGAACCTCCCTTGGAGATTGAAGTTGAAAATCCTTCCTTGGCACTTGATCAAAACCAAGAAGAACTCTCAAATGCTCAAAATGAGAAAATGATGCTCATGTTGGAGACCATTCTTGAAAATGAGGAGAAGCACAACTTTGCACTCGAGGACTTGAAACAAAGCTTGAATTACAATGATGAACATATCCGCACGTTGAAGGATCAAATGCAAATATGGTTGA